CGTGTGGTTATGAACGTTGCCATATATGTAAAACCATAAAATTCCTATCACATTATCAGAAAGAGAGGAAGGGACAGATGCATCCATCGTAGATTCTTTGACATCCAAGGTAACAGAGATTTTGACTCCATTTAAGTTTCTTCTACCAACGATCAGAAAGTGACATTTTATATTGTTTCCTTTTGGTAAAGAAAAAAAGAAGGGGAGGGAGAAACTGTTTTATTCATAGGGAGACATATTGAAAAAAAGTAGTGTCACTTTTATGTATTGTGTTAGCTTTTGAAATTAAGTGAGCCAGAGAAAGATCAGCAAGGACGTTTAACTGGATATAGCCTCATGCCTCAGGGTTCTAGTCTTTGTTCCTCTAGGTCATCTGATTTCAAAGACAGTTCCAGTAGAGCCGCTGAAGTCAATGGGAGTCCATTGATTTCAGTGGGGCTACACTGAGTTGGATAGAATCCATACCACATCTGGATTACCAGATGTGAACATAGAAGCTGAGAATTTTGATTTCTTAAAAAAGAAACTCAACACACCTACACAAAGAGACACACTGACAGATTCATCCATTTGCTTTGGGAATAGCATAACGACAAAAGTTTTTAGGCCTTTTCTTTTTGTGGCGGAGTAGGCGAGTAGTCATATTGGTTTCTGTGCCAATTATTTTTTGTGCTATTGGAGGGCTGGTTCACACCCATTGTATTCCAGCTCTGATTTGGCTATCCTAAGTAAATCAGCGGAAAGATAACTAATTGTATCTGATATGCTTGTCAGCGGGGGATCTCAAAATGCCCTGCATGCAAAAAGTTCCCAAGTGGTCTCCCATCCAGACACTCAGGTCTGTCTCTGTGGATTCTATGATGGAACAATATTAGCCCAAGAAACAACATCAGTCAATGCACTTCCTAACTAGCCAACTAGCCAATTGCAGGTCCAAACGGAAAGACATTATAAGGTGGCAGGGTTGTGGATTGGATTTGACCAAAGCCTGTTTTGAATGGGGAGATCCAAGTTTTGGCTGAGTTGGATTGTGACAGCCATGGATTTCCATGGCTGGGTTGCACTACCCAGAATTGTCTGTGGTTGTCAAGGGCAGGGTTAGCATTTGGACAGACCCATTGACAGGAACCGATTTATTCTCAAATCTGTAGATTTCAGTTGGTCTGCTCTGAATGGTGATGAATATCACACTATATATTTGAGATATAGTTGTATCAGCATACTGCCAGCTTGTGCCATCCCTTTGCTCAATCAAAATCTGCCCCATTTCTCTCTCTCTCTCTCTCTCTCTCTCTGCATTTTATGTCTGAAGAAGGGACCATCGTGCATTTTAAATATGTTCTCTTGCAAAGTATTCATTTCTGCCCCTATTTTATCCGAAAACAAGCATTTTCAAATGCGCTTTGCACTTTGCTACGATGAGCCAAGAACTGCATCACATCATTCAGAGTTTATTAAAAAGCTATCATTTCTCCATTAATCTGTGTTTTCTTTTTAAAAACAACAACTTCACTCCTAATTAATTCAATAAATTTTATTCATCTTAATTAAAAAATATTAAGAACATTTAAAATACTTGGTTGGAGTGGAAATATATCTTAAACAAACAAACAAACAAACAAACAAACAAACAAACAAAAACTTTTTAAAGAAAGGAACATGTATTTTAATATGGAATGAAGACCCACCTTCTACAGCAGACATAGATCCAGTTGCAGGCCTCAAATCTCACAGTTCCACAAGGGCAAAACAGAAAATGGCACTGACCATCATTTTCTATACATCCATGCTTGGTATTCCTGGTCTTAAACAGTTCTGAACAAAGAACAACAGTCTTTCTTACTGCATGAAACCAGACACGTGAAATTCAAGTTGCAATCACACATGAAGTTATGAAGTTTATACATAATATTAGGGAACCCTTTCATTCTATTCATTACTTTGCCTGAAACACAGAGAAGATATAGTACTAGCTAGTCCCCATTGAGCAGAGATATTACTAGTTAGCATAGACGCCAACTCCCTGAAGGGGGCTGAGGCACTTCCGCCCCCCCCAATGTTTCTTTAGAGGGGACTGAGCCTCTTCAATAATTTGGCCACCTCATGAGAAGAGAAGACTCCCTGGAAAAGACCCTGATGTTGGGAAAGATGGAGGGCACAAGGAGAAGGGGACGACAGAGGATGAGATGGTGGGACAGTGTTCTCGAAGCTACCAGCATGAGTTTGACCAAGCTGCGGGAGGCAGTGGAAGACAGGAGTGCCTGGCATGCTCTGGTCCATGGGGTCACGAAGAGTCAGACTTGACTAAATGACTAAACAACAGCAGCAGCAACAAGCCTTTTCAAATTTAGAAGACATTGCATGTGTGACATCAGGACGTCGTGCGATGTTGAGAAAGTGATCTTGAGATGTCATGTAACATCATTCAAGGGCTTTTGTGAGATATCTCCAGAAATATCTTGGTCTCTTGGCTTTCAAGAAACCTTTTACCACAGTTTCCATAAGTTCTGCAATAATTGAATTATTTTGCTATGGAAATGAACAAAATTGTCAATTTGGGCTTCTCTCAGTTTCTCACGTTTGCAATCGTAAATTCAGTTATTCATATTCTTCTGGGATCTTCTTCTTCTTCTTCTTCAAAAAAAAAAAATCGACAGGATAATTCAACTGCATCTTAGTTTGAATTTAGCCTGATAAGCATTTTTTTAAAAAAATGTAATGTTGAGAAATGTGCATTTCTTTCAGTTATTTTTCCACATTATGATCCATCCAGTCTGTTAGTTTCACTGTGTTTGGGTACATTTCCCTTAATCCATGTTTTTGTTTTTTGTTTTGTTTTTAAAAACCTTTTTGGAGTTGAAAAAAATGGATTTAAAGATCTGAAAAGATCTGATGCAGTGCTGTTTTCATATGCAGATTGATCCAAGTAGGGCATCCAAACAGTTTCAAAGCTATCTTTCTCCCTTGTCCTTCTTCTGCTCTTTATTTAGTCGGGATCTGCTATGAATAAATAGTTGAATGAGTGGAATATCTTTAACCCGGGAAAAGTAAGGTGAAGTAGAAACAAGGAAGCTCTCTTCAGATATCAGAATAAGGACTGATACATTGTGATAATCAGGGTTCGTCAGCCACATGATGTTGAGAAAACAGACCAGCAGATGGGGAGCCAGGGGGTTATTAGGAAGACGACTGAGGTAAACAGAAATGTTGGATTGTACAAGAGCTGTGGGCACAACTTCAAAGCGAACTCAGCCATGGAGAATAAAGTAATCTGAGATGCCATATGTACAAATTATGTAGGCAAATCAATCAATTTTTATTTCTCCCGGTTTCTCACACCTTCAAAACTATGTTCTGTACTCCACATCTTTGCATGTATGGGCAACCTCTTCCAGAAGATATTTGCAATTTTGAGGAGTTTAGTGATCTAACTTGGTCATCTCTTCCTGCCTCTGCTCACTTCCCTTCTCTATCTCTTGTTAAAGTTCTTTGATGGCTGAGAACAGCCTTTTAATGTATAATCTGGTGGGAGGAAGAAGTGATAATGCAGGGTATCTTCTGACCTTCTTTGATGTTAGAAATTGTTTGGAGGAATGTGCGGGTATTGGAAGAGGGTGCTAGCTAATGAATAATCTGCACATAGGCAGTTGGGCAAGCCATACAGGCTAGCGATCAATAATCTATAAATCAGATGGTTTGGGAGCATAGCTCAGAAGCTCATATACGAACTCATGGCTGGAGGGTTGTGCAACCTGAGGCTACCTAGGGGTCACTTTGCTACTTCTTGAGGGCTTCCCAGTGGCAGATCAAAGTGCTTGCTTGTTAATATATATATATATATATATATATATATAGTTAATATATATATATATGATATTTATTAAAGTTTCAAAAATAATAAAAGAAGTTACAATAGTAATAATAAGAAAAAGGAAAAAAAGAAAAAAGGAATAAAAAAGAAAGAAGAGAATACAAAATACAAAAAAAGTAAAAACAATTAAAAACAAATCAATCTTTCCATATCTTGTCTTTCATTCACTTGTTTCCCTGACCTCCTCACACCTCCCCTTTTTTGTATTCCAGTTCAGTAAGTTAATTCAGCAAATCCTTTCCCTCTTTGTTTTTATCTTAGACCTTTGTCTTAATATGTAATAACTGTAAATTCTCATCTGTTAACTGTCCATTTTTACATACTCCTTGTAACATTGCTGCTAAAAACCCCTTAGCTTCATTCCAACATCATTCTAACATTCATTAATTTTACAGTATTTCTGTAGATAGTCTTTAAATTTCTTCCAATCTTCTTCCACCGACTCTTCTCCCTGGTCTCGGATTCTGCCAGTCATTTCCGCCAGTTCCATATAGTCCATCACCTTCATCTGCCATTCTTCCAGGGTGGGTAGATCTTGTGTCTTCCAGTACTTTGCAATAAGAATTCTTGCTGCTGTTGTGGCATACATAAAGAAAATTCTATCCTTCTTTGGCACCAATTGGCCGACAATGCCCAGGAGAAAGGCCTCTGGTTTCTTCAGGAAGGTATATTTAAATACCTTTTTCATTTCGTTATAGATCATCTCCCAGAAAGCCTTAATCCTTGGGCACGTCCACCAAAGGTGAAAGAATGTACCTTCAGTTTCTTTGCATTTCCAACATTTATTATCGGGCAAATGATAAATTTTTGCAAGCTTGACTGGGGTCATGTACCACCTGTATATCATTTTCATAATATTCTCTCTTAAGGCATTACATGCCGTGAACTTCATACCTGTGGTCCATAACTGTTCCCAGTCAGCCATCATAATGTTATGTCCAACATCTTGTGCCCATTTAATCATAACAGATTTCACTGTTTCATCTTGAGTATTCCATTTCAATAGCAAGTTATACATTCTTGACAAATTCTTAACTTTAGGATCTAACAGTTCTGTTTCCAGTTTTGATTTTTCTACCTGGAAGCCAATTTTCTTGTCCAAATTGTATGCCTCCATTATTTGATAATAGCCAAGCCAATCTCGCACTTTATTTTTTAATTTTTCAAAGCTCTGCAATTTCAATTTATCTCCCTCTTGTTCCAGAATTTCCCAATATTTCGGCCATTTGGCCTCCATATTGAGCTTTTTCTGAGCCTTCGCTTCCATCGGTGACAGCCACCTTGGAGTTTTATTTTCAAGTAGATCCTTATATCTTGTCCAGACATTAAACAATGCTTTCCTGACAATATGGTTTTTAAATGCTTTATGTGCTTTGACCTTATCATACCACAAATATGCATGCCACCCAAATACATTGTTAAAACCTTCTAAATCCAAAATGTCTGTGTTTTCAAGAAGCAGCCATTCTCTCAGCCAACAAAATGCGGCTGATTCATAGTAAAGTTTAAGGTCTGGCAGGGCAAATCCACCTCTTTCCTTTGCATCCGTTAGTATTTTGAATTTTGTTCTGGGCTTCTTGCCCTGCCAGACAAATCTGGAAATATCTCTCTGCCACTTCTTGAAACAGTCCACTTTGTCCAAAATTTCCAGTGTTTGAAACAAAAACAACATTCTTGGCAATACATTCATCTTTATCACAGCGATACAGCCTAGCAGTGAAAGCTTCAAATTTGACCATATTTCTAAGTCTTTTTTCACTTCAGTCCAACATTTTTCATAGTTATCCTTAAATAAATTCACATTTTTAGCAGTCATGTTAACCCCCAAATATTTCACTTTCTTAACCAGTATTAATCCTGTCTCCTTCTGAAACCTCTCTCTCTCAATCTCTGTTAATTTTTTCTCTAAAACCTTAGTTTTTAACTTATTCAACTTAAATCCTGCAACCTGACCAAATTCTTGAATCAGTTCTATTACTCTTTTAGTACTAGATTCTGGCTCCTGTAATGTCAATACTTAGTTATCTGCAAATGCTTTCAATTTATACTGTTTAGCTCCGACTTGTATACCCTTAACCAATTGGTCCCTTCTAATCATATTTAAGAGAACCTCCAGGACCGATATAAAAAGCAATGGGGAAATTGGGCAACCTTGTCGTGTCCCTTTCTCTATCTTAAATTCCTCCGTCACCACATTGTTAACAATTAGTTTGGCCTTTTGTTCAGAATTATATTGCACTTATACCATTTCCAAAACCTTGACCAACCCCCATCCCCTGTAGGTTCTTCTTCATAAAACTCCAGGAAATGTTGTCAAAAGCTTTCTCCGCGTCCACAAATATCAAAACTGCCTTGGTATTAATGTTCAGCTTGTTAATATATATAATGCTTGCTGTTTAGAATAAACTCTTTAATCTTCTCACTTACTTGTGTTTGTATTGCTTCTGAATACGCCTAGCATTTGGCAAGAAACCGCATAAGTTTTGTTATCCATCCATCCATCATCTATCTCTATCATCTATCTAAATCTATCTATCATCTATCTATCTATCTATCTAATCTATCATCTCTAGGTAGTTTAGGAAAATCATGGAGGATACATCTTTTATTAAGCCCCCTGAATATCTATCTGTGTCTATTAGCTATAATGGCAAAGAGCAGCCGCCATTAACAGTTGCAATGCACTAAATATAAAATGTAGGGGCATGAGGTATATGAAATGCAGCATAATGGATTGATTGTGCCGAAACTGGTCTGCCTTTCAAGCCATTGTTTTAAAGATCTGTAGCATGGGTGGCTAATGATTAGCCCTCCAGATGTCATTGACAATGGAGATGGGGATAAGGGGAGTTGAAGTCCACTAAGCTCTCAAGGACCACCTCTTGACCACCCCATCCTAGAAGTTATGTCTAAATGTTTCAAAAATGGATGGACGTCTTACCAGAAAGCCACGTTGCAGAAACCAGGCACATTCCTGAAAAAAGTGCTAAGAAAAGCCATCGAACCCTCATAGCTAATGCTCAAAAAGGATCTCAGGTCAGACTATAATAATGGAAAATTGCTCTGTGACCGTTCTGCAGCTTTTGGAATGTCAAGTTTCTACTTATTGATTGGGCTCTGTGATATACTGACATGTCAGCCCTCTTCATTAATCTTCCTGTTGTGATGCAGGTGACAGAAGAAACCCTCAAGAGGACATGGTGTGCAAGAGAGAGGAAGTTAACACACAGTGCATTAATCTGATTAGGCATTCCATATTCACTGGGCTGGAAATATTGTTTCGATGTGCCTTGTACCCCAATCAGATGAAACATCGATGTAGGTCTGCTAAGTGATTTCATCCTTAAAATGCCATGCAAAGATCTTCCAGTCTGCCCAGTGGCGAAGGAAGCCTCTCAGGCACCTGGGGCGAACAGCCCATAGTGGTGGGACACATGGCAGCCATAGGGACAGGATGGGGTGCACAGTGCCCATAGGGATGGGATGCACCATGGGGCCTCAGCCACCCTACAGCTGGGGGGGAGGCAATGGGCAGACAGCGCGGAGCCTGTGGGCGCCAAGATGCATGGCTCGGGTGCACTGCAGGCCCTACAGTGAGTGCTGTCCACAATTTTGTCACCCCCGTCAGGGTGACACCCAGAGCGGGCCACCCCCCAACCCTCTTCCTACACCCCTGAGTCTGCCACTGAGTCATCCAGAGGCTCATTAGTCACCTCTGACATCACCAGCTCTGGACCACATGAAGGAAGCAACTCTCATGGACCAAAGTGGCAATGAAGTTGGCAATGAAATTATTCTTGTTGCCTTCACTTCTGCTTGACAGATCCGGTCACCTAAGTTCAGTGAGTTCCCTCTCACTTGCAGACCTAGCATGCTTTTTTCTGTCTGCCTTTGCTTAGTAAAATAAATGGCAGTGTGTCCTTTACAGCACTTGAAAGACCCTCAGGAGAAGCTGCTTTGATTTTCTGCAAGACTTGGAAGGAGTGTCAAAAAGCAAAGCTTTAAAATTAAAAACACCTTTCTCCCAAATCCCTTTAATTGGAGTGCCCTGGGAAAATAATTAGCTGTGATTAAAAGCCCGACTTGCCTTTCAAAGTTAAATATGCCCCCACCTCTATACCCAGTCCTATCTGAAAGAGTATTTTCCCCTCAGCCTGGTTTTGTTTCAAAGTAATGCATTTTTTATTTTATTTTTTTGGATAGCTGAAGCCACAGAGAAACTCAGATCTCAGAGCGGTAGCAGGGCCTGATCCAGATGCTTTGTAAACAGTGAGAGCCAAATCAGGTACATGAGAACCCACCCCAAACCCACCTTGAGATTTGGGGTATACCTAAACATGAAGCACCCCCGAATAGTTCTGAAATGTCAAAGTGTTGCCTCTCTGTGAGGATCAGAATGTTCCTTTATGCAGCCCATAGGAGGATCACTGCCATCACTATTTATTCCAGTAGTTCTCACTGGAATCCTTCTTGATTTCATTTTCCATTTGAAGAGCATTCTAGTATAGGTGAGCTAGAATACAGCCTCAGTACTAAATGAGTCCTACCAAACGGTCATTTCCAAATTCTGCCCCAACCAATTTATGATTCTCTGAGCATCACCAGTTTCCCTTTTTTGACCTGTGCAGTCTGTTGTATATTATAGGGTAAATATGTTGGGGATCAGACCCATCCTTTGCCTTTTATTCCCTCTCTTTTCTCTGAGGCTCATTGGTTTGCCACCTCAACCAATTACTTGAAGACTGCATCCAGAAAGCTCTCTTGTTTTAGCTTCTCTAGCTCAGCTCTCTTTGCCCCAAAGGAGCAAATCTGTACTGTGAGAGCCAGGATCTCACAACTCCAAGCAAGCACCCATCCTTTAAGAAGGATGTTGACAAGGTGGGACATGTGCAGAGGAGGGCAGCCAAGATAATCAAGCCATATGAGGAACCGTTGAAGGAGCTGGGTATGTTTAGCTTTGAAAAGAGGAGACTGAGAGGAGATTTGATAGCCATTTTTTAATATCTAAAGGGCTGCTACATGAAAGATAGAGCAAGCTTGTTTTCTCCTGCTCTGGAAGGTAGGACTTGAACCAATGGCTTGAAGTTACAAAAAAGGAGATTCTGACTAAACATCAGGAAGAACTTTCTGACTGTGAGAGCTGTTTGACAGTGGAATGGTCTCGCTCGGAAAGTTGTGGATTCTCCTTACTTTGAGGTTTTTAAGCAGAGGTTGGATGGCCATCTGTCATGGATGCTTTAGCTGAGATTCCTGCATTGCAGGGGGTTGGACTAGATGACCCTTGGATCCCTTCCCACTCTAATATTCTATGGTTCTATGATCCACAACTTAATTATCTACTAGCTTTTGAAATTCCCCATCATCCAACCCAGTTCTTTGCTAAGATCGTGTATCCAAATGCATTTGGAGATGCATGTTTCCAAAGTGTGTACATTTAGAGATGCACATATAAATGCAGGAATGTCCCGTGGATTTTCACAATAAACAGACTGGGAGATTTCCGTGACATATTGTGTTTATTCCAATCATTTTATTCATTCATTTTCAGAAGGAGGGCTTCATTAATCAGCGATCAGTGAGCTCACTTCTTCAGTTGCTTTTTCTGGAGGTCAAATAAGTGATTTTGTCACAAAAGATAATAAATGATGCTGAAGTTAATGAGAAGAGTCTTCTCCAATCAACTACAAATCTGCAGAAAGATAACAGAAAGATCATTAAATGTTTCATTTTCTTTCCCTGTTAAATCCCTTGTTGTTTGCTTTGAAGTCAGTGTGGGAACATGATTTTGGGGAGGGAATTGAAATTCTTTCTGGGGTGCAGTGATGGGGGAAATTAGCACAGTTGTTGGCAAGTTAGTCCAGTTCTGTGCCACCTTTCCATATTTAAAGGCAATAACTCACCAGCTGCATCAAAAGCACTTGTCCTTTATATTGTCATGGCAGCCCACCCTACTAGAAAGAGGATTTAAATTCACCAACAGATAATTGACTCAAAAAGGCTATGCCATAGAAATATCTAAATTAGAGGAAAATTTTATTCAACTGAAAGGAAAGTATTTATTTAAGATGTATAATCTCCTCCTTGACTGGGAAGTCGAGGAGGAAGAGGTTAAATAAGTTATGGTCCATTGGGCAAAGGATTTTGGACATAACATCTATATGAATGAATGACAACAGCTCTGGAGAGAAGATATAAAGTTTACCGCGTGTTATAACTTGAAAGAAAACGGGATGAAAATGTTTTGTTGATGGTACTTGACCTTGGCCAAATTGGCCAAAATGTATTAAAAAAATCTCAAACTTTTGTTGGAGATGTAAAAAAGGGGAGGGCACCTTAATGCACATGTGGTGGGACTGTGTGAGGATATGAGAATTTTGGGACATAATATACAACAAACTTAAAAAGATCTTTAAATTATCCTTTCAAAGAAGAAGAAGAAGAAGAAGAAGAAGAAGAAGCCTTTCTATTAGGCATTATGTTCATTGAAATAAAATAAAAAATCCCTTTAGGACCATCTTTATGTATGCAACCACAGCGGCCAGAATTCTGGTAGCAAAAAAGTGGAAAGGTGACTTAATTCCTAGAAAGCTTGACTGGCAGGTGAAGATGATAGAATACCTGGAACTTGCGAAAATGACTGGGGGAATAACAGGAAACTCAAATCAGAAAGTGAGCAAAGAATGGACAATATTTAGAGAATATTTCAAACAACACTGTGAAAATGCAAATCTCCTGACAGGTATAGATTGTATCTTGAATATTAAAGAAAATTATAAACGTAAAAAAAAAATCTGTATGTAATAGATAGAATAGGAAGTGTGTATAGGTTTAAAATATTTAGAAAGCACAATGAAGTGATTAGGAAGTCAAAAATATGTGTGATGTTAGATATGTGTATCTAACATTTAGTTGTCATTGTGGTATTATTTTTGTCTGTTTGTGTTGTATTTTTTTGCAATAAAGATAATAAATTTGGGGGGAAAGAAAAAAAGAAAAAGAGAGAGTCTTTGAACCTCTTTTGTTGACCACCAGCATTACATTTTCCATTTTTAAGTTTGGAATAGAGTAGTTGCTTTGGAAGACGATAATCAAGCATCTGCACAACATGACCAGTCCAACAAAGTTGATGTTGAAGAATCATTGCTTTGACACTGGTGATCTTTGATTCTTCCAGTACACTGGCATTAGTTTGTCTGTCTTCCCAGGTGATGTGTAAAAAAATTTGGAGACACCATTGATGGAAACTTTCAAGGAGTTGGAGATGGTGTTTATAAGTGGTCCATGTTTCACAAGCATACAATAAGGTTGGTAATATGATAGCTTTGTAAACAAGCATTGTGGTTTCCCTGCTAAAGTCCCCGTCCTCAAACTCTGCATTTCAGTCGGGAGAAATCTGTATTCACATAGCTCAGGCAATGCTAGATTTCGGCATCAATGTCTGCCCTTGTCGAAAGATAACTGGTATACTAGAACCAGCACCTTGAACTTAGTCCGGTAACTTATGGGCAGCCAGTGCAATTTTTTTAACCCTAGCATAATATGATGGTGATATTCTGCCCAAGTGAGCAGTTGAGGCACTGTATTATGAACCAGCTGCAATGTCCGTGTCAACCACAAACAGAGCTCTGCATAGAGTCCATTGTGAAAGTTATCAGGGATGGCCGTAGTCAGGCTGTCTTGGCCAGAAACCTTCATGTCAGTCCGTGCTGGTAAATGGCATTCCTAACTACTGGGCTGCTTCTGACAGAACTTGTGGGGTGCGTGTGTTCTTAAAGAAGACTTAACCTTACTTTAAGAACTAAGCTCACTCTCCGACAAGCTAGATATTCGTTGTATGGAACTATATTGAAATTTTCTTTTTACCCCTTTTCCAAAATGGGACTTTATTCCCCTTCAAGCTTGACTTCTAGGCTAATCCTGAACACTAGCTTTTCGAGAGACTTCACACCCCAGGAATTTAGCTCCTATGTCCTTTCAGGATTTGACTCCTAGTGCACAATGACCTGAGTCCTTCTTAGTCTGTGCTGTTTTGATTAAATGATAGAATGCATGGCTGTTACTTACCCTCTCCCTGCTTAACTCACCTTGAGGCTTTGTCAGCTAGGACAGAGGCGCTTCAGCAGCTGGGGCTCCCTGAGCTTCTTCAAGAGAGGCAGACCTTTTTGCCTCGCCATACACGGTTGGATTAGACACTCTGAAAGGAATTGGTTTAGGTCAGTGTGTTGTTTCAGCAACTCCATCTCAAAACTCAGTGCTAGGCTGAAAGACCAGGCTGGAAGACTGCCCTGATTTTTGTTAGGTATAATTGATTTAATTGATTTAATTCGCACGGAAATGAAAAATGCATGTGCATGGATGAAAGTTTAAAATGGAAAATGGCTGCCTTGAATTAAAAGACGGCACCCATGAATGGAATTGTCTGAATGTATGCATCACTTGGGTGCCATGGAAGGAAAATAAGAAAGATTACCCAGTTGCCCTGCAGCAAATCAGACCTCCATCACATGTTCCAACCTGTGCAGAATGGGCTCCACAAGTGCTAACACAATAAGAGTGAAAGGATTGACACGCCTCTGTAGTAGTAATATCTAAAAAGAAAAAAAAGTGGAGAATCACAACTGAAACCATTCTAATATACTGTATTTTTCCATGTATAAGACTATCTTTTCTGCCATTTTACAAAAGTTTATAATTGGGGGTCGTCTTATACATGGAATATTTAAAATATTTATCTCTTAATTTTGGGCTTAAAAAATAGGGGTCATCATATACATGTGGGCGTCTTATACACAAAAAAGTACGGTATTTCATGCAACAGTATACACATATACACTCCATCTAAACTGATGCACATATTCTGCAAAACTATATGTCTATAATTTTACATATAAATTATTGAGCTATTTTTAACAGTAATGCATAAACGGCTTGAACATGAGCAGACGCTCGATGCAAGTGGGAGTCTGATAAGGGCAGAGGTTTCCAGATTGGAAACCGACAAATTCTCTGCAAAATAAGGCATTTTCAAATGAGTTTTTCCACTATCTCTAAATTTAAATAAAGGAAACATTTCTCTATTACCTATGATCTTAAAAATTGGGGACACTCAATTAAATCAGTGGACAGTGGTTTGGGGACTGGCAGGAAAAAGTAGACAAATTCATGGAGGATATAACAGTCATGGAGCCCTTGGCATAGAATCATAGAATTACAGTGGTATCTCGGGTTAAGTACTTAATTCGTTCCGGAGGTCCGTTCTTAACCTGAAACTGTTCTTAACCTGAAGAACCACTTTAGCTAATGGGGCCTCCTGTTGCCGCCGCGCCGCCGGAGCACGATTTCTGTTCTCATCCTGAAGCAAAGTTCTTAACCTGAAGCACTATTTCTGGGTTAGCGGAGTCTGTAACCTGAAGCGTATGTAACCTGAAGCATATGTAACCCGAGGTACCACTGTAGAGAGTTGGAAGAGACCTTAATGGTCATCTAGCACATCTCTTTGCAATTCAGAAATCTCAAGTAAAGCAGCCATGACAGATAGCATCCAACGTCTGCTTAAAAACCTTAAATGAAGGAGAGTCCGCCACCTTCTGATGGAGTCCGTTCCACAGTCAAAACTCTTACTATCAGAAAGTTATTTCTGATGTTTAGTCAGAATCTCCTTTCTTGTAACTTGAATCTATTGTTTCATGACCTACCCTCCAGACCCCTGATCATCTTGGTCGCTCTCCTCTGCACACATTCGAGCTTGTCAACATCCTTCTTAAATTGTGGCACCCAGAGCTGGACACAATATTGCTGGTGTGGTCTAACCCAGGCAGAATAAAGGTAAAGGGACCCCTGACCATTAGGTCCAGTCATGACGGACTCTGGGGTTGTGCGCTCATCTCGCTCTATAGGCCAAGGGAGCCGGCGTTTGTCTGCAGACAGCTTCCGGGTCATGTGGCCAGCATGACTAAGCCGCTTCTGGCAAACCAGAGCAGCACACAGAAATGCCGTTTACCTTCCCGCCAGAGCGGTACCTATTTATCTACTTGCACTCTGACGTGCTTTTGAACTGCTAGGTTGGCAGGAGCAGGGAACGAACAACGAGAGCTCACCCCGTCACGGGGATTCAAACCACCGACCTTCTTATCAGCAAGTCCTAGGCTCTGTGGTTTAACCCACAGCGCCACCTGCGTCCCTCCTATGCCTCTCTTCTACATCCATGTAATCAAGACGAATTATAAGAGTGAGGCTTAGGTCTCTCCCCCACACATGAGACGACTCTGGAAGTTAATTTATTAAGATTTATTGGTTCAACAAAAAGCCCCAGTTGGAGCTCCGCAAATTTCAATCTTCCTTCGATTCCACTGTTGCCAGGAATGAGCTCCGCCCCCTTCTCCCCCAACAGGAAAACTCCCACCTCCCCTTCCTGTACTTTTCACACTTCTCAGCTCATCTCATGAGGGGTGATTCCCTCTCCCTATTTCTGTGTCTGTGTCACTATCTGAGCCTTTCCTTCGACTAACTGCTTCTCCCCCCTCCTGTAGGAATCCTCCTCCTCCTTCCTCTGTGCCTGCTCTTTTGCAGGGCGATGAGTGGCATAGAGTGAAGGATAACAAATGGATCATGTCCAAATTGTGGATTTGTCCCTCCTTCAGGCCCGTTGTTTTAAACACCTGCAGCATGGTTAGCTAAAGTGTAGCCCTCTTGATTTTGCCCCATCATCCCTGTGCATTGTCAATGGTAGTGCGGATGACAGGAGTCCACTAAGCTCTGCAGGGCCACATCTTGACCATCCCAGTCAATATTTCATATCTAAATATTTCAAATTTGGTTATGTCTTACTTTTCTTCCCTGCAGAAAGCAGGAATACCCCTGAAAGGACCACAAGGGAAAGCCAACAAACATTCATAGCTGACACTTGACAAAGATCTCAAGTTAGACTGCCAGAAAGGAAAATGACAACAGAACTCTGTGACAGTTCTGTGTCTTCTGTAAGGCTAAAAGTCCTCTCATTTATTCAGCTCTCTTATAAATGATGCCTAAGCACTGCCTGTGGTGGAAGAATAGCTATCATATCTCCACTCAGTCTTCTTTACCAGGTTAAACATACCAAACTCCTACAACCGTTCCTCATAAGGCTTGCTTTGCAGACCACGGATCACCTTGGTCACCCTTCTCTGCACAGGTTCCAGCTTGTCAATATCCTTCTTAAACTGTGGCGACCAGAACTGGACATAGTACACCAGCTGGGGTCTGACCAAGTCAGAATAGAGCGGCACTCTTAGTTCCCTTGATCTGGACACTATACTTCTGTTAATGCAGCCTGGAATAACATTATGTTATACCACTGCATCACACTACTGACTCATGTTTATCTTGTGGTCTACTAAGATCCCTAGATTCTTTCCGCATGTACTACTGACAAACCATGTGCCCCTCATCTGATATTGGTGCAGTTGATCATTCCTCCCTAACAGTAGAACCTTACACTTGTCCCAATCTGTTATGGCCATATTGAATCTTGATTCTGTCTTCTGCAGCATTAGTTATCCTCCCAGTTTGGTGTCAATTGCAAATTTGTTGAGCATCCCCTCAGTTCCTTCATCCAAGTTGTTCACAAAGACATTGTACAATAACAGGCTCAGGAGAGAACCCTGCAGAACCTGACTTGTCACTTTCTTCTAGGACGATGGGGAACCTCATCTTACCAGCTTCTCCACAAGAATATCATGCAGAAAGCCATCAAAAGCCTTGCTGAAATCAAGATATACTATGACATAGCATTCCCCTGATCCACCAAGCGTGAAACTCTCTATAGAAATAATATTAATCTGGCATGGCTTCTTTTTGAGAAACCCATGCTGTCTCTTAGTAATCAATCTATCAGGGGCTGTTAGCTATAATGGTAGAGAGAAGCCCCCACAGAGAGATGATATACATTGAATACTAAATGTAGCAGAATGAGGTATGGAACTCAACATAATGGATAGATTACTCCCCAAATGTGAACTTGTCACTCCTTCAAGCCCATTGCTTTAAACATCTGTATCATGGCTGGCTAAAAAGCAGAGACATTGTTGCCAACAAAGGTCCATATAGTTAAAGCTATGGTTTTCCCAGTAGTGATGTATGGAAGTGAGAGCTGGACCATAAAGAAGGCTGATCGCTGAAGAATCGATGCTTTTGAATTATGGTGCTGGAGGAGACTCTTGAGAGTCCCATGGACTGCAAGAAGAACAAACCTCTCCATTCTGAAGGAAATCAGCCCTGAGTGCTGACTGGAAGGACAGATCCTGAAGCTGAGGCTCCAATACTTTGGCCACCTCATGGGCAGAGAAGGCTCCCTGGAAAAGACCCTGATGTTGGAAAAGATGGAGGGCACAAGGAGAAGGGGACAACAGAGGACGAGATGGTTGGATAGTGTTCTCAAAGCTACCAGCATGAGTTTGACCAAACTGCAGGAGGCAGTGGAAGACAGGAGAGCCTGGCCTGCTCTGGTCCATGGGGTCATGAAGAGTCGGATATGACTAAACAACTAAACAACAACAACATTGCTGGCTAATGATTAGCCCTCTACATTTTGTCCCATCATCCCTGGTCATTGACAATGCTGATGGGGATGATGAGTGTTGATGTCCTCTAAGCTCTGGAGGACCACCTCTTGACCACCCCATCCTATAAGTTATGTCTGAATGTTTCAAAAACAAATGTATGTCTTACCAGCAGAAACCAGGCATAGCCCTGAAAAGACAGCAAGGAAAAGCCATTGAACCTTCATAGCTGATGCTCAAAAGGGATCTCAGGTTAGACAGCAATAATGGAAAAGAGCTCTGTGACTGTTCTGCAGCTTCTCAAATGCCAAGTCTCTGCTTATTTACAGGGCTCTGTGATATACTGACATGTCAGCTCTGTTCATTAATCTTTCTGTTGTGATGCAGTTGGCAGAAGAAACTCTCAAGAGAACATGGTGTGTAAGAGAGAGGAAGTTAACACACAGTACATTAATCTGACCAGGTATTCGAGGATTCACTGGGCTGGAAATATTGTTTCGATGTGCCTTGTACCCCAATCAGATGAAACATTGGTCATGGCTTGCTAAGTGATTTCATCCTTGAAGTGTCATGCAATGCACTCACAGTCTGCCACTGAGTACTCCAAAGACCTCTCCACCACCTTTGACATGACGAGCAGTATGCCAAATGAAACAACTCTATTGGGTAATATTGTCAGAAATCAGAATAATAGAATCACAGAGTTGGAAGGTACACCAAGGGTCATCTAGTCCAACCTCCTGCAATGCAGGAATCTCAGCTAACGCATCCATGACTGATGGCCAGTGAACCTCCGCCCTGTAAGGAGAATCCACAACTTTCTGAGGGAGACCGTTCCACTGTCCAACAGCTCTTACTGTCACAAAGTTCTTCCTGATGTTTAGTCAGAATCTCTTTTTTTGTAACTCGAAGCCATTGGTTCGAGTCCTATCTTCCAGAGCAGGAGAAAACAAGCTTGTTCCATCTTCCATGTGCAAGCCCCGGGGAGGGGCTTATGTGTGGACCATAAGCTTAACATGAGTCAACTGTGTGATGCAACAGCAAAGAAACTAATGCTATTTTAGGCCTCATCAGAAGTATATCATCCACTCTATTCTGCCTTTGTCAGAGAAGGGTGACCAAGGTAATCAAGCATCTGGGACAAAGCCTTACAATAACCGGTTGAAGGAGCTGTGTATGTTTAGGCTGGAAAAGAGGAAACTTAAAGGAGATATGATAGCCATCTTCAAATATATCAAGGGCTGTCATATGGAAGAGGGAACAAGCTTGTTTTCTCCTGCTCTGGAGAATTGTTCCCATTTTCTTCCCATGTAGCAAAACTTATGAGATTTCAACTTGTACCCATTGCATTCAGGGCATATAGCCCAATGGGTTTCTCTTAGTGTGAGGGGAAGTAATGTATAATTCAATGTATATTGCCTAGGGCTCCAACCACTGAAGATTTTGTATTGCCCAGAAGGGTATTACAAAATACCCTTCTGGGCAGAATAAAATTGGACTTTTCTGCAGTTGAAAGTGTCTGTGTGTGCTTCTTCCCTTTCTACTCATTTTACTTATTGCTCTTATAACTAACCATCTAGCTAAGGGACAATCATGTTTTGCATTGAGAACAAATAACGTTATAAGGTATAAGGAAAGCTTGGATGGAGAATGGACTATCCTGCTACTTCAATGATTCTGTGAAGCATATCAGCTGCATCAGCTCACTCCATACCTAATCCAAGATCAGGACAAGGGGTTCAACTCTGCATGGCAACTATGACATTGCTCCAATAAATTCCCATAACCACTCCCCAAATTAGTAAATTCGAGATATGGTCTGCTCACGCATGGGATCCCTGTGCCTTGCAGGAATGTTGATCTTACCAGCACACGCTCCCTCTGCATGGCTGAATCTGCTCCCTACTATAGATCTTGCAAGTTGCATTGGGTTGCCTAGAGCAAAATAAATTGACTAACAGATTGGAGAAGATCAGTCTACATCCCAATCCCAAAGAAGGGCAGTGTCAAAGAATGCTCCAACTACCACACAATTGCACTCATTTTACACGCTAGCAAGGTTATGCTTAAAATTCTACAAGGCAGGCTTAAGCAGTATGTGGACCAAGAACTCCCAGAAGTGCAAGCTGGATTTCGAAGGGGCAGAGGAACCAGAGACCAAATTGCAAACATGCGCTGGATTATGGAGAAAGCTAGAGAGTTCCAGAAAAACATCTACTTCTGCTTCATTGACTATGCAAAAGCCTTTGACTGTGTCAACCATAGCAAACTATGTCAAGTTCTTAAAGAAATGGGAGTTCCTGATCACCTCATCTGTCTCCTGAGAAATCTCTATGAGTTAGAACTGGATATGGAACAACTGATTGGTTCAAATTTGGGAAAGGAGTACGGCAAGGCTGTATATTGTCTCCCTGCTTATTTAACTTATATGCAGAATTCACCATGCGAAAGGCTGGGCTGGATGAATCCCAAGCCAGAAATAAGATCGCCATAAGAAATATCAACAACCTCAGATATGCAGATGACACATATGACCTTGATGGCAGAAAGTGAGGAGGAATTAAATAATCTTTTAATGAGGGTGAAAAAGGAAAGTGCAAAATATGGTCTGAAGCTCAACATCAAAAATCCAAGATCATGGCCAGTGGTCCCATCACCTCCTGGCAAATAGAAGGGGAAGAAATGGAGGCAATGAGAGATTTTACTTTCTTGGGCTCCATGATGGTGACTGCAGTCATGAAATTAAAAGACCCCTGCTTCTTGGGAGGAAAGTAATGACAAACCTAGACAGCATCTTAAAAAGCAGAGACATCACCTTGCCAACAAAGGTCCGTATAGTTAAAGCTATGGTTTTCTCAGTAGTAATGTATGGAAGTGAGAGCTGGCCCATAAAGAAGGCTGATCGCCGAAGAATTGATGCTTTTGAATTATGGTGCTGGAGGAGACTCTTGAGAGTCCCATGAACTGCAAGAAGATCAAACCTCTCCATTCTGAAGGAAATCAGCCCTGAGTGCTGACTGGAAGGACAGATCCTGAAGCTGAGGCTCCAATACTTTGGCCACCTCATGAGAAGAGAAGGCTCCCTGGAAAAGACCCTGATGTTGGAAAAGATGGAGGGCACAAGGAGAAGGGGACAACAGAGGACGAGATGGTTGGACAGTGTTCTCGAAGCTACTAGCATGAGTTTGACCAAACTGCGGAAGGCAATGGAAGACAGGAGTGCCTGGCATGCTCTGGCCCATGGGGTCACGAAGAGTCGGACACGACTAAACAACAACAAAACCAAGTTAATTAATAATAATAATGGTTCTTGGTTCTCTTGGTCCTCTGTTACAAGGCCTAGTCCACCTCTTGGCGATGCACCCCACGGTGGGCATTCTCCCTATTCACTCATATCTACAAGCTGATTTAATATTCAGGTCATATGTCTATCATCAATCACAATGTAATTATTTTCTATCAAGTGAGAACTCTTAGAGAGAGAGTTAATCTGTCAATTCTTCTCCCAGAAGTGTATATCTCTCATGGACTGGTTGGATCCAGAGAAGGGGGGGGGCAGCTGTGGAACCCACAAGGGATGAAACATGGATCAGTGGCTATGATGGCTAAGTAATGCTTCAGGGGATATGATACCATTTTTCCAATTCAGTGAATCTTGAATGCATCATGAGGTTAATGTACTGTACAGAACTTCTTGAACAGCAAGGAAAAACCAGCAAATCAGTGTTGCTTGACAAGGATCTTGGTTATTAGTGGGATCTGAACCACATTGAAACCATATTTCCAACTGGGTGAATCATGAATGCATTGCCAGATTAATGTACTCTGCCACAATTTCCTCTCTCTGGAATACCATGGCCTCTGGAAGGGTAACACAGGGAAGGCATTTTGTAATTCATTGTGTAATGCCTAGGGCTCTGATCACTGGAGATTTTGTAATCCCTAGAAGGGTGCGCATTGCCTCTTCATTACGTCTCAGGTTGGGGTACAAGGAGCATCCACCTTGACCTTCTCAGAGCTATGAAGACCATCTAGTTTTTCAATGTTGTGCTTGCTCCGCTGGTCATTCCCAATCCAGGCAATAAATTACTTGAGGAGAGGAATGAATAATATCACCGTATAGGGCCAAAACATATCCCAGATTCTTCGTCCTCTTCCATTTTTGTTTCCAAGTTCCACCTTTCCAATTTCCATATGCAGTAGCTCTGCACCTCATGTAGGTGTTTGCTTCCAAGGGTAAAGCACATGTGCAAAATTTTGCATATAGACAAAATTAGGTTATCTTAACCTGCTACCTAACCTGCCTTTCATAAGGTGGCTTATGAAGTGGGGAGAACCCGACACATGGCAGGCTGAAAATGCCTTTCCAGGGAAGCAAGGTGAAGAGCTCAAAAGCTCTTTTTACACTGGTCTGCTTGGGTTTACTTGTTGCGAAGTAACCACTTAGCTTTAAGCAAAGGCCTATCATCATGCAGCTCTGGAACTGGTAGGGATGCTCTTATATGGTGTCACAGGATAAACTGACTTCCTGTGACATCTCACAACAGCATCCTCACCTTGTCCTTTACAACTGAAACCATGCCGGTTAAATGCACATGTCATGCAATTTTCAACAATGGCAGAGGCCTGAGTACACTGGGTACCAGCGGCAGGTTTGTGTGGGGATTGTGGTAGCTTAAAGTTGGGTTTCAGTACAGCAAGAAGGAGTCTGTTGTATTTCTTTTCTTTCACTGCGCAGCGATCCCTCTTGTTGTTCTGGCTTCTGAGATTCAGAATTTTTTTTTTCTTGTTTTCCTCCTCCAAAAACTAGGTGCATCTTATGGTCTGGTGCGTCTTATAGAGCGAAAAATATAGTATATATTTTAACTTATAGTGTTATTTACTAGATTCTATTTTCCTAACCATCCAGCTTGAAGTATCATGTAGGTGGAGAGGCAGATAAAGGTCATTTGTTGCTCTGTGACTACAGGATTCACTGATGTGTCAGACCTAAATTCGTGCATGTATGGTGCTGTGCCCGCATACTGTGTAATGAAGGAATGTCCTCTCATCTATTCAGACATTGGAAGTTGTGGTAAAGACATCCGTTGCTGTTATTCTGGTAAGAATAAAGATCCTATTTTAAAAAATGCTTAGTATGGCTGTGAACAGATACCTGGATCTGATTTCTGGCCCAGTTTGTAATTTAGATTGTGCCAGATTCTGGACCAACCCAGCCCATCCTGTATCCATGAAATGAAAATTTTGGAAATCCTATTGACTTGTGTTGGGAAACCAGGGAGTTGAAGGAGACAGTGGTAAGACCACAAGTTCAAAAGCCCTCCCTAGATTCAAAAGATCTAAGTAATTACTGGCTAGTTGCTGGTCTCTCTTTATTATGCAATGTTCTTGAGTAAATGATCATGGACCAGATCCAGACGATCTTGGAGGGAAATGATTTTCTAGATCCATTTCAATTGCGGTTGAGACCTGGCTTTGGCACAGAAAATCTCTCAGGAGAGAGACAGGGGAAATGTGTCCTTGTTCATTCTCCTCAACCTCTCAGGGTCTTTTGATACCACTGAGCATGGTATGCTTCTGAAGGGACAGTCTGAGTTGGGGGTGGGTGGCACTGATTTGTGGTGGTTCTGGTCCAGCTTGGATGGTTGTTTCCAAAGGGTGATGCTTGGGGAGTATTAGCCAGGGGGTGCTGGGTGTCAAGAGCTGAGGTGGCCTCAGAGTACACAAGTGGGTGAGGGAGCCCAGCCAGCCAGCCAGTTTGCCAGCCCTTGGTGTTGGGAAAGGGCAGACAAGTGGGAGGCTGGGCAGACAGGCAGGTGCCACGCTGGCCTTTCTTGTCCTTGTCTGGTAGCTGAGTGGCCGGTGCCAAAGGGGAGCCATTCTGCCACACAGGCCTGGTGGCACCAGCTGCTGCCTCCCAAGGTGAATAAGGTGCTGGCCTCATGTTCACCTTTGGCCACTCTCTGTTGGGACACTAGGGCTGGGGGCATCCTCTTCCTAGGCCCCTGTGGGGTGGCATGGTGAGGCACCTCTCTTTGGGGTGGGCAGGAGACCTGATGACCCTTGGCGTCCCCCAGCTGTTCAATTCTATAATTCTATGAAAAATACTTGGTATTTAACGTATTAATTCGCTTGCAGGTGAATTGAAGATGGTGTGTTTGAAATATTCTTGCTGGTGGCTTGCACACACATTACACTCGCCCCAGATATTGTCAAGGCAGACAGGTCCAGCAGGTGGTTGTTCCTGCATTTGTTGTTGTGAATTATAATATCAATATCAATAATACTTTATTTTATAAATATAACACCACAAAGCAGCAACAGATGGAGTAGTGCGGTTGTTCAAGGGCCAGAGGTTAAATTTGACTTTGTCTTTCTTCTTCTTTTTATTCCTATTCTCTCACAGAGCAATAGGCTGAAGGAGGTATCTACATTTGCTCTTACACTCCTGCTCATTGGAATGCAGAATAAAATTGGACCTGTCTGCAGCGAAAGTATCTGTGTGTGCTTCTTCCCTTTCTGCTCATTTTACTTATTTCTTTTAAAAGCCCCATTCCATGCCCAGTAAGCATGGGGCAACCTTGCCTGATGGCACTGTGGCCCATAAATTGCAGCAAAATCTCCTCTGTGTAATGGGCTTATGGGAAAAAGCTGTCCCATGAGCAATGCCAGATTTACATATAAGCTAAACAAGCCATAGCTTAGGGCCCCACTTTCTTGGGGGCCCCCAAAAAAATTAAAGGGGGAAAATCTGGATGTACATTTCCAATACAGTGGTAATAATAATAATAATAATAATAATAATAATAATAATTTATTATTTATACCCCGCCCATCTGGGTGAGTTTCCCCAGCCACTCTGGGTGGCTCCCAATCAAGTGTTAAAAACAGTACAGCGTTGCATATTAAAAACTTCCTTGAACAGGGCTGCCTTAAGATGTCTTCTGAATGTCAGGTAGTTGTTTGTCTCTTTGACATCTGATGGGAGGGCGTTCCACAGGGCGGGTGCCACTTCTGTGAAAGCCCTCTGTCTGGTTCCCTGTAGCCTCACTTCTCACAATGAGGGAACCGCCAGAAGGCCCTCGGCGCTGGATCTCAGTGTCCGAGCTGAACGATGGGGGTGGAGACGCTCCTTCAGGTATACAGGACCGAGGCCGTTTAGGGCTTTAAAGGTCAGCACCAACACTTTGAATCGTGCTCGGAAACATACCTCGGGTTAAGAACTTAATTCGTTCTGGAGGTCTGTTCTTAACCTGAAACTGTTCTTAACCTGAAGCACCACTTTAGCTAATGGGGCCTCCTGCTGCTCCTGCGCCGCCAGAGCACGATTTCTGTTGTCATCCTGAAGCAAAGTTCTTAACCTGAGGTACTATTTCTGGGTTAGTGGAGTCTGTAACCTGAAGCGTATGTAACCTGAAGCATATGTAACCCGAGGTACCACTGTATATAAGATATTATATATAAAAATAAACCCTTCATGCAGCAACAGTGTTTTGTGTTGGGTAGGCTCCATATTAGTTCCATAAATTACCATATAGCATATATTCAACACAAAAACAGCGACAATTTGTTGTTGACAAAGGAAAGCTCGACATATAAAGGGCCCCAGGACCTTCATTAGCTTAGGGCCTCATGAAATCTAAATTCAGCCCTGTGCATGAGCCTTTGCTGTGGAGGGAAGGGAAATCCTATGTAGGACTGCTTCCCCTGGAGCTCACAATTATTTTGCTTTGAGAACTTCCCTCTCACCCATCCTCAAATTAGAGCCTTTACAGAGCAATTTTCGGTTGTTCGTTGACAGGGCCAGAAATGATTTTCTCTCTCAAAAGCTGAGACACTTGGTTATTGTTTTGCCTTTCCCTCAGTGAAATTATGGCTTTCCTTTGTTAGGTGGAAGAACATTGTTTGTGTGAGGGGGGAAATGGCATTGGGTAGGATCAACATAGTATAGGGAAGAACCTATAAGGGGTCTGAGGGGTGGATTGACCACAGCAAACCCAAGCGTGGGTTCGGTATCTGCTTGCTTGGAGTCTGCACCCTGGTCTTCCAGTGAGACCTCGCTTGCCTGGCTTGCACCACAGCAAACTTCAACACTGGCTGACTCCCATTGTTCTGCTTTGGAGGGGTTCAAACCCAGCGGAACCATTCCATCAACATGGAGCTTGTGGGATGAAGTACTGATCCTTTGACCCAATGCCATGCCAACCCTTGCCCTGCCTGCTGCTGTCAAGAAATTTTTGGCCTGATTTTAATCCCATCACCGTTGAACGGTCTGGTGATCTGGCTGCTCTCATGGGTCACATCATGCTCTTGCCTGGGCAACTAACTACCTCTAGGAGGAACATTCTTTTTTTTTATTGCATTGAGATCAAAGAGGTATAAGAAAAGATTGGATGGAGGAGGGGCTCTCTTGCTACTTAAATAATGCTGTGAAGCGTATCAGCTGCATCCACTCACTCCATACACAATCAAAATATATGCAATGCTTGCAAACAGAACATGACGACAGAGACTCTTTCTTGGAAGTAAGGGGCAAATCTTTCCTGAACAAGAGAGTTATTCCCCTCCACCCCCAAAAAAGTTATCACTGGTGAAAGGATGGTGGGACCACCCAAGAGTCAAAGCCCAAGAGTCCAAGATCAGGACATGAGCTTCAGCAACAGAATGATGATGATAATGATGATGATAATAATGTTAATTTATTTATTTATACCCCACCTATGTGGCTGGGTTTCACCAACCACTCTGGGTGGCTCCCAAAAGAATTACAGTGGTACCTCGGGTTAAGTACTTAATTCGTTCTGGAGGTCTGTTCTTAACCTGAAACTGTTCTTTACCTGAAGCTCCACTTTAGTTAATGGGGCCTCCTGCTGCCGCTGCGAGGCCTGAGCACGATTTCTGCAAAATTCTTAACCCAAGGTACTATTTCTGTGTTAGGGGAGTCTGTAACCTGAAGCATATGTAACCTGAAGCATATGTAACCTGAGGTACCACTGTAATGATAATTGAAAACATGGGGGGGGGGGCCGATAAAACACCAGACGTTAAAAACTTATCTAAACAGAGCTGCCTTTTGATGTCTTCTAAAAATCAGGTAGTATTTCCTTGACATCTGATGGGAGGGCGTTCCACAGGGCAGGCGACGCTACCAAGAAGGGTCTCTGCCTGGTTCCCTGTAACCTCACTTCTTGCAGTGAGGGAACCACCAGAAGGCCCTCGGAGCTGGACCTCAGTGTTCAGGCTGAACGATGGGGGTGGAGATGCTCCTTCAGGTATACTGGGCCAAAGCCGTTTAGGGCTTTAAAGGTCAGCACCAACACTTTGAATCGTGCTTGGAAATGTACTGGGGGCCAATGTAGGTCTTTTAGGACTGGTGCTATATGGTCTCGGCGACCACTCCCAGTCACCAGTCTAGCTGTCGCATGTGCAGAAACTGCCTTCTTGACTGTTGGACCCAGTATTTGTCTTGTCCGCTCAATTCATTGAAGCTTGCCTACATTCGCGGGAGACAGACAAGTCCCTAATTCACTCAGGATTTGAGACCCATCAGCTACCCTCACCTGGTTAAATGGCTAGTAGACAGCTTCTAGGAACCACAGGTAGAGTTGAGCGCAGGTTGGGGATCAAATGTTGAAGAACTACTACAGGGGGAGAACAATATCTCCCCTGCCAGAGGTACTACCCTCCCCTAACACCGCATACACAGGTTAGGAGAACCTGAGCTATAAGGCAAAATGTACATTCTCTATCTTCCTCATTTCTCTGTGTGAGAGAAACAAGCCTGCCCCTTCAACCTTTTACTTTCTTTCTCTCTGTAAGAATTTCTGTGGACACCCATGCTTCTACCTTTGATGTTACAATTTTCTGTCCCTAGAAAGTGGCTGTAATATTGTGGAAAACATGTATGTGAAATGTGGCCCTGGTTCAGTCCATTGAGTTGTGTCTCCATGCTTATTCCTGGTTCTGGTTGCAACTGGTACTTTTTAATACATGGGAAAGGTGGGTGGAAGAAAGAGGACTAACAGGAAAACGGAGACGGTTGATGGCTTAAATTATTTTTAAAAGGAGATGGAAGAGACTTTGATCAGTAGCTATGATGGTTCCCTGGGTGCTTCTGGGGGTATGAAACCATATTTCCAATCCAGTGAATCTTGACTGCATTGTGAGGTTAATGTACTGTACAGAATTTCTTGAACAGCAAGGAAGAACCAGGAAACTGGTGCTGCTTGATAGGGACCTCAGTTATCAGTAGGATCTGAGCTACATTGAAACCATTTTTCCAACCGGGTGAATAGCAAATACATTGCCAGATTAATGTACTTGTGTTTAAACATCAAGATCTGCATAGATACACCCATGCTATACAGTACTCTCCTATATTAAAGTGTGCATCTATAATGTAACATCGCAGAGATCCATTAGACTCTATGGGAACTGTAAACCATGGATGACTCCTGAAGTAAGAACACTCCTGAAAATCCGGGATTCTGCCTTTAAGACAGGGAATATAGACATATACAGAGAGGCAAGAATAAATCTCAAAAAGGCATTATGGCAGCAAAACAACAGTATAAGCTGAAGGTGGAAAAATATTTAGCCGATAACATCATGAAACAAGTGTGGCAACGACTGCAGCACCTAACCAACTACAAGGACAATACAAGGAACATGGTTAAGACTGATACCTCATTGGCAGAGGAACTGAACATCTTCTTTGCTCAGGTTGCGGTTGGTTGGGTTTATCTTCTAGGGATAATTACCCTATCGAACATTCACCTCTTCCCCATACCATTCTGACCCAAGAGTCCTGGCCCAGAGATGACTTGTTAGTGAGGAGATCTTACCCCTCTATTGGGGAGGCTAGTATGGGGTCTGGGATTCCCACTATTGAAGGGCTAGGGAAGAATGGCGGTGGGGCTAAATATCACTATCGGCGAAGGGTTATGAGATGCAGTGATGCTCGAATCCCTTCCAATCTATGCCCCATCCCAAGGGAAAGGTAAGGGCGAGCAGGGATTACCCACCTCCGGCATTGGTGTTGTGCAATGCCAGGTCCATAGGCAATAAAACCGCCACCATTTGTAACTTTTTTGTCTCGCAGGGGATTGACCTGGCTCGCGTGACAGAGACCTGGGTATGGGAAGGTGAAGTAATCTCCCTACATGAGATAACACCTCCAGGTTTCTCTGTCCTCCATCAATCGCAGACTCTGGGTCAGGGGGGTAGGAGTAGCATTGTCAATCCGGGAGGATTGCTTTTCAGGGCTCTGCCACCACCGGCGATCTCCGGCATTGAATGTGTTGGTCTCATGTGGGGCACTGAGGAGAACTTGGCTGTCTGGCTGGTGTTCCGACCAGCTAGCGCACTGGCAGCCACCCTGTCAGACCTGCTGGAGGTGGCGGCAGGCTGGGCCTTGGAGTTCCCAAACCTATTGGTTTTGGGAGACTTCAATGTCCATGCCGATGATGCCCCCTCCTCACAGGCTCTGGACCTAGTGACTTCCATGGCAACACTGGGGCTCTCCCAGTTTGTTATGGGCCCGACCCATCAAGCAGGCCACACACTGGATTTGATCTTTGGTGCTGGCATAGATGTGATCATGCTCCCCCCTGTGGAAGTGCCATGGTCTGATCACTACGCTCTGAAAGCCCAGATTGACTTCCCACTCCTCCCCTGCTCAGGTGGCGAGCCTATTTGGGCTCAACTGCAAAGACTGATGGATCCTGATAGATTCCTTCTGGCCTCGAGGGACCCTGCTCCTCCTGGCGACTCATTAGATGACCTTGTCGAGGACTGGAATAACTGGCTCTTGATGGCCATTGATGAGATTGCGCCTAAGCGCCCTCTGCGACCCCGTCGAAACCGGGCCCCTTGGTCTACTGTGGAGCTCCGGAAAATGAAGCGGGATCTCAGACGGCTAGAGCGAGTATGGCGATGGACTCGTAACGGAGCTTCAAGAACATCTTATAGGACGCTTATGAAAGCCTATGAGATGGCTATGAAAGCTGCTAAGAAATCTCACTTCGCAGCTTCCATTGCATCCGCTAGCTCTCCCCTGGCACAACTTTTTAGAATAATTAGGTCAATAACATCCTTAGCAGGACAACCAAATTTAAGCACAAATTCAACCCCCAGCTGTGAGGCATTTGCGAGCTTTTCTGCGGAGAAAGTCCTGTTGCTCGGCCGTGACCTGTAGGGATATCGCGGAGCGGGGAGTGGGTTCCGGAGGGAGCACACTTCCCCGCCAGCAGGCAGCCACAATCTGCCTGCACGCATGACCTTGGGGTGCAGGGAAAAGCCCCCCTCAGACAAGCCACGGCTGTCGGAACATCGTCCCCTGTGTCTGACCTTTTGCGGTCTCAGAAGTCAGCGGTGTCCTGTCTGTAACTTTTTCCCTGAGACCTTTTGTCTCCTACGTCATACACTGTGCAAGGGGAAAATGACGCTGTGGAACAGGTGCCAAAATAGCTTTGTACCACCCCACGATCTCGGGACGGAAGATGTGTAAAGGTCAATGCCCAGACATGTATCTGCCTAGCTTGCATATTTGTCTCAATAAAAGGAGGCTCCACAGGAATGGTGGTAGCTCGCTTCAGATCACCTGTGCGCAGCTCACATGATGATCAACACCTGTCTCGTGCCTTCACTTCAGTGACCTCCCTGCCAATTTAGATACTGTGAGAGAACTGGAGGCCCCTCAACTGTCTTCGGGTCCAGTGTTAGAACATTTCGATCGGATACTCCCTGCAGATGTGGATAGACTCCTCCAAGCTGGTAGGCCCACCACCTGGCTCCTCGATCTGTGCCCGTCTTGGCTGATTAGGGCGTGCCCAGATATTGCGCGGACCCCCCTGGTTGAAATTATCAATTTGTCCCTTAACACAGGGATATTCCCAGGGGAGCTGAAGGAAGCAATGGTGTGTCCGCTCTTAAAGAAAACTTCACTAGATCCTTTAGATCTATCCAATTACCACCCAGTTTCAAATCTCCCATATCTGGGTAAGGCAATTGAACAGCTTGGTAGGTTTCTGGAGGAAACATGGGCTTTAGATCCATTTCAGTCTGGATTCCGTCCTGGTTTTGGGACCGAGACGGCTCTGGTCACCCTAACAGATGATCTCCGCAGACAACTGGATCGAGGCGGGTCGGGACTGCTGATTCTCTGAGATTTGTCAGCAGCCTTTGACATGGTCGATCATGATCTTTTGGACCACCGCCTCGCTGATGTGGGGATACAGGGCATAGCCCATAAATGGCTGTGCTCTTTTATCTCTGGTCGGGGACAGAGGGTGGCACTAGGGAGGGAGTTGTCGTCGCACCACCCTTTGGTGTGTGGAATGCCACGGGGCTCAATCCTCTCCCCGATTCTTTTAAACATCTTTATGTGCCCCCTTGCCCAGATTATCTGAAGCTTTGGGCTGGGTTGTCACCAATATGCTGATGACACGCAGCTCTATCTGCTGATGGATGGCCATACCAACTCAATCCCTGACACACTGACCAGATGTTTGGAAGCTGTGGCTGGATGGTTTCGTGGGAGACGACTGAAACTAAATCCTTCAAAGACAGAGGTCCTCTGGCTGGCTCGGTATGGTATGGGGATGAGGGACCAACTCCCTTCTCTTGCGGGGACCCAATTAGTGCCATTGCGTTCTGTTAAGAGTTTGGGTGTAATCCTTGACGCCTCTCTTTCCATGGAGGCGCAGGTTACAACAACAGCCAAGGCGACATTTTTCCACCTTCGCCCCCTCAAACAGTTGGTCCCTTACCTTTCCTGCCCTGCCCTGGCCAAAGTGATCCATGCGATGGTCACCTCCACGCTTGACTACTGTAATTTGCTCTATGTGGGGCTGCCCTTGAAGCTGTCCCAGAAACTCCAGCGGGTGCAGAATGCTGCAGTGAGGCTCCTCACAGGGTCTCTGCCATGGGAGCATATTCACCCAGTGCTTTTCCAGCTGCATTGGCTCCCGGTGGAGTACAGAGTCAGATTTAAGGTGCTGGTTTTGACTTTTAAAGCCCTTCACTGGCCCCGGCCTGGTGGAATGCTCTGTCTCTTGAGACCAGGGCCCTGCGGGATCTGATCTCTTTCTGCAGGGCCTGTAAGACAGAGTTGTTCCACCTGGCCTTTGGCTCAGAATCAGTTTGATTCCCTCACCCTCTTTCTTTTTCCTTTCTCCTCCTATGAAGAGATTCCTCCCTAATTGTTTTTAATGTTGTATCTTAATCTTTTAAATTGTATTTTAATCAACTTGTTTTTATTATTGGTTGTTAGCCGCCCTGAGCTCGGTCTTGGCTGGGGAGGACAGGGTATAAATAAAATTATTATTATTATTATTATTATTATTATTATTATTATTACTCTGCCACAGTTTCCTCTCAGTTGCATACCAGTCAGAGCCTCCGTACGACCAAGCTGTAATGGCTACTCCTCCGGAACCCCATCTAGGCTCTCCTCTGATGGTGAATAACGGCCTAAGCCTTTGAATGAGACTTCAGGCACACTCTCCATTGCGCAGAATACTCAGACAGCAGCAGAAGGAGCCAGAAATGTGTACTACATTGCTACTTTATTTCTAACTACGCAAGACAGAAAAGAATATGCATCTGTTCTCTGTGAGAGACAGAAAACAACAGGAACAAAGAAACAGGAAACCAGTAACTTCAACATCCGTCTCCCGTCTCCCGTGAGACTTCCAACAATCTGGAATGTCAATAGAGTCTTGTGACTCCAAGAACTGCACAGTGGCATAACAGAAACCTAACAGTTTTGACTGTTTTGATCAGTGACTATGATGACGGAGTGGATCTATAGGTGCTTCTGGGGGTATGAAACCATATTTCCAATCCAGTGAATCTTCACTGCATCATCAGGTTAATGTACTGTACAGAACTTCTTGAACAGCAAGGAAGAACCAGAAAACTGGTGCTGCTTGATAGGTACATCAGTTATCAGTAAGATCTGAGCCACATTGAAACCATTTTTCCAACTGGGTGAACCGCGAAGGCATTGCCAGATTAATGTACTCTGCCACAGTTTCCTCTCAGTTGCGTACCATGGTCTCTTGAGCAGTGATACAGGAAGGCAATTTATAATTTAATGCATAATGCCTAGGGAGATTTTTTAATATCCAGAGGAGTATAAGACACACCAAAACACATTGCCTCTTCATTTCCTTTCAGGTTGGGATACAAGGAGCATCCACCTTGACCTTCTGGGAGCTATGAAGACCATATACTTTTTCTATATTGTGTTTGCTCTGCTACTCATTCCCAATCTAGGTAAGCAATTATTTGAGTCCTAAATGGGATTGGAATGAGTAATACCACTGTGTGGAGCCAATGCTTATCCTCTTCCTCTTTTTTCCCCGTTCCCCCGTTCTACATTTCCAATTCCCATATACAGTATCTACTTGCACTTGTGCGCTTGTGAACTGGTGGGTTGACAGGACCTGGGACATATCAGTGGGAACTCATCCCACTGTGGGGATTCGAACTGCTGAGCTTACAGTCAGCAAGTCCAAGAAGCTCAGTGGTTTAGACCACATCACCACCCACATCTTTTCCAACTAAACACCAGGCTCGCTGAAAAGGCATTGCCATGGAAGAAAGGTGAACAGCTAAATGCTCTTTTCACACTGCGTCTGATTGGACTTACTTGGTGCGAAAAAAGCTTTAAATTCTCAATCTTTCTTCTTGGGCAAAGGCCAATCATCATGCAGGTCAAGGACTGGTAGTGATGCCCTTACATGGTGTCACAGGATCAACTGACTTCCTGTGACATCTCACGACAGCATCCTCACCTAGTCCCTTACAATTGAAATCACGCAGGTTAAATGCACATGTCATGCAATTTTGAACCATGGCAGAGGCCTGAGTACACTGGGTACCAGTGGCAGGTTTGTGTGGGGATTGTGGGTTAAAGTTTAAAGTTGGGTTAAAGCTTCAAGTTGGGTATACGTACAGCAAGAAGGGGGACACGGGTGGCGCTGTGGGTAAAACCTCAGTGCCTAGGGCTTGCCGATCACATGGTCGGCGGTTCAAATCCCCACGGCGGAGTGAGCTCCCGTCTTTCGGTCCCAGCTCCTGCCCACCTAGCAGTTCGAAAGCACCCCTAAGTGCAAGTAGATAAATAGGGACCGCTTTATAGCGGGAAGGTAAACGGCGTTTCCGTGTGCTGCGCTGGTGCTGGCTTGCCAGAGCAGCTTCGTCATGCTAGCCACGTGACCCGGAAGTGTCTCTGGACAGTGCTGGCCCCCGGCCTCTTAAGTGAGATGGGCTCACAACCCTAGAGTCGGACACGACTGGCCCGTACGGGCAGGGGTACCTTTACCTTTACCTTTTTACAGCAAGAAGGGAGGTGGAAGGAGACTGCCATATTCCTTTTCTGATGTGTTCTTCTGTGTTGCATCCATCTCTGCTATTTCTTCTTGTTAAAATAGGTGTTTGCCTGCTTGCTTGCTTGCTTGCTTGCTTGCTTGTTTTTTTTAAAAAAAACATGCACCTGAGTTTCTCTGCATTCTCTTAAATATTTTTTGCTGATATTATTATTTATTAGATTTTATCATACCCACCATTCTACTTGAATTCTCTTGTAAGTGGATAGGTAGCTAAAGGTCATTTGCTGCTCTTTTACTACAGGATTCACTGCTGTTTCAGATGAAGAATCATGCATGTATGGCGATCTGGCAGGGTACTGTGTGTTGAAGGAATGCCCTCGTGGCTTTACAGTCATTGGAAATTGTGGAGAAAAGCATCGTTGCTGTTTTTACCGTAAGAATAAAGACCCTATAACCGGATCTGATTTCTGGCCCAGTTTGTAATTTAGATTGTGCCAGATTTTGGACCAACCCAGCCGATCCTGTATCCATGAAATGAAAAACTTTGGCAATCCTATTGACTTGTACTGGGAAACCAGGGAGCTGATTAATGCCTATTTGTTTCCTGCTTGGCAGGGGGGTGGACTCGATGGCCCTTGTGGTCTATTCCAACTCTATAATTCTATGATTCTATTCTAGAGAGGGGATATTGCCTCCCTGCTTGAAGGAGGCAGTGGTAAGACCACAAGCTCAGAAGCCCTCCCTAGATTCAAAAGATCTAAGTAATTACTGGCTAGTTGCTGCTCTCTCCTTATTACGCAGTGTTCTTGAGTAGATGATCATGGACCAGATCCAGACGTTCTTGGAGGGAAATGATTTTCTAGATCCATTTCAATTGCAGTTGGGACCAGGTTTTGTCACAGGAAATCCCCGTATGATGATCTCTGTCAGGAGAGAGACAGGGGAAATGTGTCCTTGTTAATTCTCCTCAACCTCTCAGGGTCTTTTGATACCACTTAGCATGGTATGCTTCTGAAAGGACTGTCGGAGTTGGGTGTGGGTGGCACTGGTTTGTGGTTGTTCTGGTCCAACTTGGATGGATGTTTCCAAAGGGTGATACTTGGGGAGTATTAGCCAGGGGGTGCTGGGTGTCAATAGCTAAGGTGGCCTCAGAGTACACAAGTGGGTGAGGGAGCCCTCAAGCCAGGCTGCCAGCCCTTGGTGTTGGGAACAGGCAGACAAGTGGGAGGCTGGGTCTTTCTTGTCCTTGCCTGGTAGCTGAGTGGCCTGGTGGCACCAGCTGCCACCTCCCAAGGTGAGTAAGGTGCTGGCCTCACATTCACCTTTGGCCAGTCTCCGTTTGGACACTTAGGCTGGGGGCAACCTCTTGCCAGTCCCCTGTGGGGTGGCCTGAAGAGGCACCTCTTGTTGGGGTAGGCAGGGGACCAAGGCAGTGGGTGCCCAGAGGAGACCCAAAGAGAAAACAGAGGAAGCTGACCTATATAGCCTTAAATGCCTTTAAATGACTCAGGACTGCAATACCTCAAATACTGCCTCTTCCCATATCAACCGACCCAAAGGCTGCCAACTTCTTTTGAGGTCCTCCTTCGTCTGCCTCCTCCACAAGAGGGTGGTAAGCCAAGAACAGGTCTTTTCTGAGGTGAATTCCCATTTATGGAATGCTCTCCCCAGGCAACCCCCCCCCAAAAAAAACAGCTCATAAAGATCATCCTGGGGGGGGGAAATAAAAAATATATAAAAAGGTCTTTGGCTGATAAAACCATACGTGACCTTTGAAACAGGTTTGAGGGAATGGATTCTGTTGTTTTATTTTTTGTTTCGTATTTTCATTTTGTATTTTAATGTTGTAAACCACTCTGTGATCTTCAGATGAAGAATGGTATAGCTATAGAGAAGTAGCAAATCAATAACTTTAATTTAATTTTATTGGCTATCCAAACCTAAGCAGAGTTTCATACTAACAGCAAGAAATAAAACCCGCTCCTCCCTTGTAGAGTACAGATTTGCCTCTAAGTAAGATACCACTTCTGTCCAGCTCTAAGTTTTCACAAAGGTCAGTCAAATATTTATCTTTGCATAGTGTCATTTCAAAAGATTAAGAATGGAAAATGCAGAACATGAAAGAAAGTGAAATGGATAGAACCGAAAATCTTTGCTCAAAGCTGAGGTTACCTACGTTAGTGCCTGCTGGACCTCTACTGATACCCAGGAAGTCTTTGAAGACCACACTCTCTGCCCCTTCATCAAGAGAAGATTTTCCACCTGGAGGTTCAAGTGAAGTGGATTGAGCTCTGAAAATTACAAATAGTCTTCTGCCAGATAACTTTTGCTAAATTAATGTAGAATTAGAAATATTGGTTTAGGGTATTATATATAGATGGCATTTCACTTGCTTTCTCTCTGTGTGTATATGCAGGTAGAGAACCTGTAAGAAACAAAAGGCAATGTGAGAGGTTCCTTGGGGTTTGTCGGAAATCCAAATGCGATGCAAGATATTTTCCTGGAGGAAAATGTGCAGAGAATATTGTATGCTGCTTAGATAAGTAAGTATGAAGCTCCCAGATATTGTGGTGGGTTGGACCTGATGACACTTTGGGTCCCTTCCAGCTCTACGATTCTATGATTCTATGAAAAATACTTGGTAATTAAAGTATTGATTCACTTGCAAGTGAACTGAAGATGGTGTGTTAGAAATATTCTTTCTGGCGGCTTCCACACACATTACACTTGCCCCAGATATTGTCAAGGCAAACAGTTCCTGAAGGTGGTTGTTCTTGTGCTTGTTGTTGTGAATAATAATATCAATAGCAAGAATACTTTATTTTAAAAATAGAACACCACAAATAAGCAACAAATGGAGTAGTGCGCTTGTTCAAGGGCAAGAGGTCAAATTTGACTTTGTCTTATTTATTTTCTTTTTATTCCTTTTCTCTCACAGAGTATTTGGCTGAAGGAGGTATCTACATTTGCTCTTACACTCCTGCTCATTGGAATGCAGAATAAAATTGTACCTGTCTGCAGCAAAAGTATCTGTGTGTGCTTCATCCCTTTCTGCTCATTTTACTTATTTCTCTTAAAAGCCCCATTCCATGCACAATAAGCATGGGGCACCTTTGCCTGGCGGCACTGTGGCCCATAAATTGCAGCAAAATCTCCTCTGTGTAATGGGCTTATGGGAAAAAGCTGTCCCATGAGCAATGCCAGATTTACATATAAGCTAAACAAGCCATAGCTTAGGGCCCCACTTTCTTGGGGGCCCCCCCAAAAATTAAAGGGGGGGGAACTGGATGTACATTTCCAATACAGTGGTACCTCGGGTTAAGAACTTAATTCGTTCTGGGGGTCTGTTCTTAACCTGAAACTGTTCTTAACCTGAAGACGACTTTAGCTAATGGGGCCTCCGGCTGCTGCTGTGCCACCAGAGCACGATTTCTGTTGTCATCCTGAAGCAAAGTTCTTAACCCGAGGTACTATTTCTGTGTTAGCGGATTCCGTAACCTGAAGCGTATGTAACCTGAAGCGTGTGTGACGCAAGGTACCACTGTATACGCACACACACACACACACACACATACATACATATACATACATACAAACATACAAAGAGAGGGCTGCCCGTTAAGAGTTTGGGTGTAATCTTCGACACCTCCCTTTCCATGGAGGCGCAGATTGCAGCTATAACAAAGGCGGCATTTTTCCATCTCCGCCAAGCTAAGCAGTTGGCTCCTTACCTCTCTCGCCCTGACCTAGCCACTGTGATCCATGCGACGGTCACCTCCAGACTGGATTATTGTAACTCGCTCTACGTGGGGCTGCCCTTGAGACTGACCCAGAAACTCCAGCGGGTGCAGAATGCTGCAGCGAGACTCCTTACGAGGTCTTCGCTGCGAGATCACATTCACCCGGTGCTATACCAGCTGCACTGGCTCCCGGTGGAGTACAGGATCAGGTTTAAGGTGCTGGTTTTAACCTTTAAAGCCCTATACGGCCTAGGACCCTCGTACCTACGGGACCGCCTCTCCTGGTATGCCCCACAGAGAAACTTACGGTCTTCGAATAAAAACATCTTGAAGGTCCCAGGCCACAGAGAAGTTAGGCTGGCCTCAACTAGAGCCAGGGCTTTTTCGGCTGTGGCTCCGATCTGGTGGAACACTCTGTCACAAGAGACCAGGGCCCTGCGGGACTTGACATCTTTCCGCAGGGCCTGCAAGACAGAGCTATTCCACCAGGCCTTTGGCCGGGGCACAGCCTGACTCCCTCCCTCGGCAATCTTCGCGGAGCTCTGGCCCAACGGTTGCCAGTGGCTTGAATTAATTAATTTTATAACGAATGATTTTAGACTGTTGTTTATGCTGTACTTTTGTACTGTTTTATTGTTCTTAGCCGCCCTGAGCCCGGCTTCGGCTGGGGAGGGCGGGATATAAATAAAATTTATTATTATTATTATTATTATTATTATTATTATTATGCCTTCAGACGTCTTCTAAAGGTTGCATAGTTACTCATCTCCTTGGCTTAGGGTCCTCATTACTCCCTACCCTCTAACATTTCTCCAAGGAAAATCGGGATGTCCTAAGGAGAAGTGGGGCATTCTGGGATCAAATCAGAAACTGGGGTTGCTTCTGTGAATCTGGGATGTCCCTGGAAAATAGGAACACTTGGAGGGTCTGTTATTTCCAACCACAGTGTTCATATTGTTTCAGTACAATGAATAGTATACAGTGTTGGAAAACTTGCCCCCTTGGGAGAGTCTGGCCCCTCTCCCAGGCTCCCGGGGGTTTGTTTACCGGTGATCTACTCTGGCTGTCGACGCCCCGGCAGTCCAGGAAGATCTTGATAGGCGACATCTCCCTGTGTGGAAGATGCACACCCCCTTCTTCCTGTTGGGATACTGCCAGGGAGACAAAGTCCATCATGGCCCCCAAGCCGGCTGCCGGACAATCCATCCATCTCCCGTAGACACGCAGTATCAGCAATTAGCGACACGAGCTTCCAGAAATAGCTTGCCACATTCCAGAGCTCATGCACACTCTGTCAGCAGATAATGCACAGCAAAAGTCGCACTCAGGAGAGCATTATTTACAAGTTTTATTCAGCGTTGATCTGAACAAAAAAAAAACATGACTGCCTGCTTCAGTGTCTGAAGACACAGAGAGAGCGAAAACAAAAGACACAACAGAAACATCCTGTGAAACAGGAAATACGCAGACTCTGACTCACAAAGCCTGCTCCCTTTTAAGGTGGAACGGAAATATCCTAACATCCTCCCCCTTTCCGTGTAACCTGTAGTACCTGTGGTTCAACCCAATTGCAACTTCTGAACATAAACCTTAAGTTGTTCTCTGTTAACAACCTTAGACAACAGATTAGCAGGAATTTCATTTCCTGCCATGTAGGACACCTGAATGAGTCCTTTCTCAATACACTCTCTTGCACGATGTAACTTAATCTGCAAGCACTTGGTTCTTTGCTTGCAACTCTCTGAGTTCAGCAAAGCCAAACAGGATCTCTTGTCTT